GCACGGATGGTTGTTCGTCTCTTTGTGCCCTGCGATTGGCTGGCAACCGGTTCAGGGTGTCCCCCGCCTACTGCCCGAAGACAGCTGGGATAGGCTCCAGCACGCCCTGCGACCCTGGTGAGGATAGAGCGGATCAGAATATGGATGGATGGATAGCTACTGACTAACATACCAGGTCAACATTTTCAACGGGATTGTTGTTTCTCGCTGGAGTATTTATTATTTTGATGATGACTTTTTTTTTTTTTGTGGTTAAGAGAAGTAATGAAGACTGTGATAACACAGATAGTACAAATGCTCAACCAAACAACATGGCCCTTCTGACATTTCCATTCCAGCTTACCTACTACACAAACCATTTTTGTCTCCTGCATTTAACTTGTGGGAAGCTGCCATTAAATGTGCTTTCACCTTTGCTTTGTTGTGTCAGCTGAGGCCAAAAGCCTTTTTTTTTCTTATTTTTTTCATCTGCATTCAATCACGACATGACAGCATACACCCCCTAGTCTCAGTGCTGTAGCATGAGATGACTCAAAGAGGGGGAAAAAAACACCAATAACCTCGCAGGGCACATCATTAAATTGTGTGTTTACACTTTTTTGTTTCCTGTAAACGGTTTATTTGTGTGCAATGTGCAGTCATTTGCCCAAAGATGACAAGAAGTGCTGTCTATTTCATTTTACAATGTGGCTGTCCGATGAAAAGTGTGTGTATAACATGTTCAGATAAAAAAAAAAAAAAAGAACAAGTATTACAGCAATCTATTAGAAAAACACCAACCATTATGTTTGTTTGTACACACATTTAGCAGGAGCAGATGCTGTATATTGCCCAGTCTGCCTTTTTATTCCTTTTATTGTGGATTGCACTTTGAGACATGAAAAATGGGACCGATGGTATCTCGTATTTGACTGAAAGTGAACGTTTTTTCCTTTTCTTCACTGAAAAAAATCAGCTCGAACAACCGCTTATCGTAATAGAGATTGGAGAAAGTGCATTATTGGAGAAAGTGCATGTTGAAATGCTGTAACATAAGGAAGAAAACAGCACGGGATCATATTGTATCTCCAACTGCGCGTCACAGCATGCAGAACCGAAAGGTCATTTGCTATGAACAGAAACATGACCTCAGAAAACACAATTGTCCAACTCCTATTTTCACAGAACATGCAGGAGAACACGGATCATCTGATTCTGTTGAAAATTGGCAAAATAATTTCATTTGCTTTATGCGTCGGGATCTTGGACCTATTCCACTTAGAATGAACAATCACAACACACATTCAAACAACAATAAATCATACTCCAAATTCCAAATTTTATACCCGAGGTAAGGTTAGTGGTGCTTACTTCCACTACCTAAAGAACTGTCAAAACCAACAGAAGATTAATCTGTAGCTTTGGTGAAAAGCAAAACATCAGGTTGAACATTCATCAGATTTTATGAGTAACGTCCATTGACACTCTCTCTCTCTCTCTCTCTCTCTCTCTCTCTCTCTCTCTCTCTCTCTCTCTCTCTCTCTCTCTCTCTCTCTCTCTCTCTCTCTCTCTCTCTCTC